GACCATTAAAGAAAATCAAAATTAACAAATGATTGCAAATACCAACAATTAAAGAAGACCTTGTCGTTTAAGATCTTCATACATCTTCTTGTTAACAACGTTACCAGCAGAATCCTCAAACTCCTCATCCATTTCGGGGTTCCATTTCATCAGTTCCTGAAATTATACAATTGAGTTTGTATACGGACAAAGGTTTCTACTCTTTCAGTTTTGATTTTAGCCCACAATTCGAGGGCGTCTTCAATTTTTGTGATGTTAGCAAAGTGAGCTGTGTTTGGAATTCCCAAGCAACGCATTCCGTGAGAGTGTCGCCATTCCTTAAGAAACTTGATTGTTCAACATTAGAAATAGAACGAACGTTGAAATGCTTTTGGAAAGCTTTAGGTCCTTTGTAGGTTTGGTTACCGCAAATTTCACACGAATATGATAAGTTCAAGCCATGAAGCTTATAAAGCCAATAAGGAATCGGTCGACCATCCCATCTGAAGGTAGTTTCACAATATAGATTTCTAAGAAACAATAATACCCTAGCGGTAAGTTTTTGGGATTGTATGGTATTCCATCAGTATCTTCTTCTTCACTAACAACCTGTTGAACGACATAACCAAGATGAATACTATGCCACAAATACCTCGACTTCTTCTTCTTCCTCTTCGATTTCGCCAGCGGCTCTGGTTTGTTTCCGCTCAACATTCTCCTTAGTATCTTCCAACTCTGTGGACAACAGAGTGCACATACTTCAAAAATTAATGTAAATTGGAAAGTTTTTGAAGATTTTCAATACCATTTGATGTTTCCTTCCAGCTTAGCCAATAATTTTACTCTTTCCTGATCCCTTCTCTCATCTTCGCTGTTCTTCGATAACAAACTTTTCTCCAAATCACTCGAACTTTGTCCTTTTGTGGCATAGAGGCGTTCAGCTCTTTCTTTCAAAGTTCTGAATTACCATGTGGCATGAATGAATGATAGGTGAAATATATGTCTACCCTCCACATTTCAATTGAAGGGCCTGTAAAGCGCTTTTGAGTCTTTCCAAACCTAAGCCTTCCAATTCCTGGGCACTGTTATATTTAGAAAGGTCAATGGCACTAGGCTATAAAAAATTTCTTTCTTTAATGAGCGATAGGAATATAATATACTTGAACTCCGGCAGCCTTCTCTGTGCTCCAACCTTGCAGACTTCCGTCAGCAAGAGCTTTCTCAGTTTCAACACAATTCTGAAATTATCTTGAAACTGTTCTTCAACGACTATCCTACCTTAGCCAATTCTTCGTCTAGATCAAACATAGGACGTGTACGATTGATGAATGTTACAAGATAATCCTAACAACAAGTTACTTAGCGTATAAGAAGATATGACTTACTTTGAGTTTAATTAAATAATCTTTATAAGCTCCGGTTTTCTTCGTGGAAGTTCTTTGGATGTCTTGGAACTTATCAATAATACTCAAATAAGCGATGTAATCGATTCTCTAAAGCATAATTACTAAGACAATGAGTACATGCTTGACGACAAACCTTAATTCCTTTCAAATTTATGTAATTTAAATAGATGGTTTGTAAGTCCAAGAATCTTCAGAGCACAAAGATAATAATGAAAACTAAGGAATTAAACTAACCTTCCATATCCTTCTTCATCAGTGAATTCAATTATGTCATGTTCTTCTCTCTCAGGATCATTAATTTCCTCGACCATTTTTTGGAATTCAAGGGACAAAGGCTCAGCCAACTACAGTGTTTCGATCAAAGCAAGATGAAGAAAAAAAAAACCAACCTCATCAGGATTTCTTCGATGAGCTTCTCTAAGAGTCTTCAGACGTGAGTAATACTCCGCAAACTCATTTGGACCAGAAACAGCTTCGATTTCTCTTTCTCTTGCACGATCCTCGTCGCGATATATTTTAGACAGTTCTTCAGTGCATTCATTATAACGCTAAGAAAATCAACGATGAAAAGATTCAATCATGAAGAACCCACGTCTAGCAAGCCTCGAACTCTGTGCTCAGAATTAATTTTAGCTTTATGAGTTCTTTTCTCGGACATGATCTAAGTGACAAGGAACAAAATACTAAACCAGAAATGAGCAAAAAAACCTCTTTGACGATCGTATCCACTAAACGTTCACGTTCCTCATGAAACTTTCGTTGAGTTTCCAAAACAGAGTCCATTTTAACTATAATATTATTAGTATAAATTAAAGTAACAAGCTTAAACAAGGGTTTTACTAATAAAGCCTTTCAAAGAGCGCAAAGCTTTGTTCCGTCGCGTTAGAGCGCGTTCGCATTGGGGCGCACTTCAATCCATGGCTATATAAGGCTGAAGAGATGACCGTTGTTGCCGCAGATATAAATGAATTGAGATAATACTTACAAAAAGCAAATACTTTAATCTTTGAAAATTAAATTTTTAAACTTTTTTGAAAAAATAAAATATTTTTAAAAATTTTTTCTCAGATTTTCCTTCTCCACAGTACTTTCAGTACAAAAAAATATTGTTTCATGTGTGTATGAGATGCTTCTACTTCTCTTATTTTAATTTTAAAATTACACACGAAAATAGAGTTTAAAGATGAAACAACAGGTTTTTGAACTGAAAGATTTAAACTTTACAGATTAATTAGAATATCGACTCATTTATAATGTTGCATTCGTAAGAAGCGGTTGTGTTCCCCAGTCTCTCTATCTCTCTCTCTCTCTCTTCATAGTCTTTCTCTCATTCTACCTTTACTTTCTATTTTTCAAAATATCTCTCATGATTCGTTCCTCTCATCTCACATGTTACAAGCTTTTTCACTCCCTCTATCCACACGACGATCCCCCTATCTCACTTCATTCATTTTTCTTCCAAGGTGCACGAGAGGAAGGAAAGAGCAAATGAGTTCCCAATAGGTTTCCAGAAAGGAAATTTCAAACAAAAACAAACGAGAAAGCCTCAGAAGGCTTCAGCAATACTCTGCTTCCGTTGTCGTACATCCTATGAGATTCTAATTTCTTTGATATCATTGAACAAGATTGCTATAGAGCAGATGCTCCACAGCGTGGAGGCCATAAATCTTCAACTTCAATCAACACACAGTTGTCTTATATTTAAAAGCTGAACGGGAAAAGTATTTTTATATTTCATCTTCTATGCCCTCAGGCTATTCATCCAGCCATTCCATCCTCTTTGAACTTTTGCATTCATTGGTGCTTCTATCAAAAACTCTTTTTTTCTCTTCGTGAACTTCTGGAATGAAAACCTTCACCTGGCTGCCCACGCAACACATTTTTTCCTGTCAACAGCTCCATCCATGTTGTTGGCGGTGGGCACACCCGACAAATTTTAGATTTAAGCTGACATTTTCTCTGAATTTCGTGTTTCATACATTTCTCGTCTTAAATATTCTGATCGTCTTTTACATTGTCTTCTGCTTACAGGAACTCATTCGCCTCAAGCTTACATGATGTTAAAAGGTAAGAACGAATTCTTTTTGAGAAATTCCTTAGAGTTGAGTGGGTGGCTGATGAGGGGGTGAAGCTGCTGTAAAGTCTCACCACCCACCATCATTTAGATCACCTAAACAACAAGATAGTATATGATGAAAGAACTTAATTCTCTTTAAGCACTGGTTGTCCTTTGCGTTGTTGCCATTTCCAAAATCCATTGTGATGAGGAGAACAAGCTGATTCCCAGCGAAGATCCAACTCTTCCAAAGGAGCGAAACTATCGTAAATACATTGGAGAAAAGGAATATGTGAATATTAACATTGATAATCTATATTATGCATATCTGATTGAAGGATATCCCCTTCAAAACTCGTGTAAGCGAGCCATTCGTTGTTGGACAGACCATTCATGCCGTTGGTACTTTGAACGAAAACCCCAAAAGGTTTCATATCAATCTGTTCCTGAATAGCATTTTATACTTCTAGAGTTGACTTCAACTTCCACAAGGGAGCTAACAAAGATGCTGACATGCCTCTTCACTTCTCCATCCGTTTCGACGAAGGTTGCTATATACAGACATCCTTGATTTCAAAGAGATATCCATTCAGGAATTTTCTCCGGAAAGTTCGTCTACAACACCTTCCAGGATGGAAACTGGTCTGAGAATGAGCAAAGAATCTCCAACCCATTCAAAGCTGGCCAAGAGTTTGATCTCCGTGTCAGAATCTACGAGGAGAAATTCCAAGTAACCAAACAAGCTTATCACATCAAGCTCATGACTCATCTCTCAAGGTATTCGCCAACCGTAAGGAAATCGGAACATTCAAACAACGTCAAGCCTTATCTGGAGTAAGTATAACAAGAGTAACACTCCATTCTCCAATTAACTTAGATTGACCACGTATCTATCCGTGGAGATTTAACTAAGCTCCGCTTGTTCCACTATGGAGGAAGATTCTTCAAATCTCCCTACATGGCTACTGTTAACTTGGTTCCACAGAAACGTCTTGACATTTCAGCTCTTGCCACAGGTTAGGATAGACTTCAAAGATGTCGAAAGGAGAAGTTGTTTACTTCAACCATGTAGCATCCCTTTCTTTTCTGAGAACCATAAACCATGAGTACTTTCCATTTGTTAAGGAAAGCGTTGTAACATCAACCTTTACCGTGAGGACAAGAATTTCGCTCTTCAAGTATCTGCTCGTTTCAATGAAGGTGCTATCGTACGAAACGCTATGACCAACAATTCTTGGGGAGAAGAAGAGAGAGATGGAAAGATGCCCATCAACAAGGACGAAATGTGAGTGTCATGCGCTTTTTTGACAGATTGAACTTCGCTTCAGCTTTGATTGCACCATTATCAATGAAGAATTCTCTTTCCAAATCTTCTTCAACGGTCAACGATTCGCTACATTCGCTCATCGAGGATCACCAAGTGACGTTAAGTTCCTTGAAATTGATGGAGCCTGTGATGTAATCATGTGTTCAGAACTACAAAGCAATTTATTCAAATTTCAGGTTCACTCTGTTACAGTCAATGATGCTACTGGCGTTTAAATGATCTTTCTTTATCACAATTTGTCTGAATAAATGGTTTTTTTTAAAATTTCACATCCGGGTTGTTTCTCTTCATATTTGCTTGATCAGCTGGTGACAGCTTCTGAAACAGAAGAACATCAGTTCACTATTGAAGGACAAGGTGTTAATGATCAGATAACACATCTAGTTCGTGCATTTTCGTGCATTATTGAGGAAATATGTGAAAGGGTACGGAAATGCACGAATGAGACTGTGTGTGCACTTGTTGTAGAATAACATCAATCGAATGAACGAACCTTGAAGTCATCATGAAGTTCAGCAGCTTTCTTAAAACAAGTTGTAACTCCTAATGTTAATTGGCATTGTACATGAGTAACAAAATGTATAATCTTATAATTTAATTATATAATTGATTTAATTAACTTCTCATACCCTTTTACTGTACTCAATGGCTGCTGGGCTTAGATCTTGTAGACGGGCACAGTTGCTCTCTAGAACAATCTTCATTCGTTGTCCTAATACGGCATTGCGAGAAGAGACAGCTTCAATCATTTCACCAATCTTCTCAAAACATCCATGAGTGGCGAAAACCTTAAAAGTTTCAAAATTTCAAAAACAGAGAATGAGCGGAAGAATAACATCTCTTAGAACTTCAGCTTCATCTTTCGTTATGGAGTGGGCAAACTCCAAGTTCTCCTTAGGGAACAAATCTTTAAAAAAAGTATTTTTGAGGCTTTATAAAACAAAAACTCAGAAAGAGAGAGAGAGAGAGAGAGAGAGAGAGACATAGAGAGAGAAAAAATGAGTTGAGAAAGCATACTTGTGAAGGAACGGACGAAGGTACGATATGATTGAGGACGGGAGGTCGAGCATAGATTGGTTGAATTAGCCAATCGCCATCTAGAGGCATTAAGTGAGTAAGAGAGGAAGCTAGAGAGAGTGTTAAGAAGGTATTCATGTGTATAAGATAGAGAGAGAGGGAGAGATGAGTAAGAACATACCTTTAACATCAGCTGGAAGATCGGAACACTTCATACTCAGTCTGTGGTGGTCGTGGTCGTTGTGAGAGTATAAGGTGGAAATGAGGAAAAAAAAGAAGAGTTTTATATTTCCTTTAAGTGTTTTTATTGAAAAACAAGTTTATTTCAATGTTCAAAGAGAACCTGTTTAATTAAGAAATCGATGGAATAAAGTTAAAAAATGAAAATAATAATCCTCAATTTCAATCATTTCTTCTGAATTGAAAATGATTCTCATTAGAGGTAACGTCTGTTTCCAATTATCTTGCTCATACAGATTATTCAATAGATGTACTTCACGATAATTGGATAATGTGATATCTGAAATACAATATTCATAATTACAGAGGGAGATATAGAGAGAGAGAGAGAAGTAGAGCAGATAGGAAGTACATCAAGAGAGAAAGAGAGGGAGAGAGAGAGAAAGAGGAATGCTTGAAGGAGAAACAGGAAAAGCTTCTGTAATCATCCAATTCCTTCCTCTTGTTGTATACACTCATCATTCCCTCTCTCTTTCTCTCTCTCTCTCTCTTCTTTTCTCTCTCTATTTCTTCTTCCCTATCTTTCACTTCACTTACTTTCAAATGACTTTGGCCAGTTTTCTCTTGAAATTCGTTCGCTTTTCAAAACAATCGGTAACTCTCCAATCATCTGAGAACTAAAAATGATTTCCATTTCAATGCATTCCTTATATGTCTCTACGTACTTCTTTAATTTGTAACGCTCCAAGTGTTCTGACAATATGATTTGATCAGAGAACCAACTACGAGTATGAAATGGCTTTGGACGTCCATACTTGATGTTACGTTCTCCTATTTCATGATACAGTCGGAGTGACAAGTCATCTCCATTTCTCAACCATCCAGGTGTTATACCTAATACCACATGATCACTGATTACACTTCATATGAAGGAAATACCCATCAACTCTCTCCATGTATGGGCTGATGCAGCTATGGTTGAGATCTGATAATGACGGAACCTTCAATAAGTTTTGATTTGAAAGAAAACAATCTGATATGTACCAATGAAGTAAGCTGAAAGGCTTATGTGTGAATCCACAACAATGTGAATGATAAGCGAAGATTTCTTGACCTTTTCGGGGCATATGATTCGATAAGCTGATCGGCCATAGATCACTATCTGATGTTATCAGAATTGAACTATCATTTATGGGCAACTCTAGTGAAGCTGAGACATACAAGCGACATGTCTGCAAAAAAAGGATCGATGACAGCTTCTAATTCATATAAGAGGTTATAGAGAGAGAGCAGAGAATGAAAAAGGAAGAGATATGAAAGGGGAAAGGGGATCTCACCCGAGACGACATGAGTTGAGTCTGATGTGGAACCGGAACAAATGAAAACACAAGGATCAAAAGACAGATAAGTTCAAAATGGGTAGAAACTTTGCTAGCAAAAATCCTGAAGATAAGTTGAAGCCTGTCAAGCTTGAGAATGAGAGACAATGGAAAATGAATAGAGATAGGAAGAAGAGTAAGGTGTTGATGGTTAGAAGGTTGTAAGTGGATACCTGTGAGATCGTGTGTGAAGGTGCCAGCTCAGTGGGCAAAAAAAGGAATTCGGCCTAAAAACAAATTAGAAAATCCTTTAAAGGAGAACAAAAAAATCGTATTTATACTTGAAGTTCTTGTACTTTAAGAAAAACAAAATGAGCTGTTGGATCTTGAACAAGTTGAAGCTTGGATACTCCGAAGCAGACAATACTTCGGATACCTAACGATTTCCATCTTTTGACAGTCAAATAAAGTGAAAAAAGATACGAAGGATGAGTATTAGATCCTAATACAACGAATGTATTGTTCTTTGAGATGACAAATTGATCCTGAAAAGGAAGAACATAGGGGATGATGAGATGTGGATGAAGAGCTCACTGTCGGCAAGAACGATAAGTTGTCTGTGGTGTCAACTGCCTTATAGCTAATCCATAATTTGTAAGAAAACACTTAACTATACGTATAATGAAGCTAATCATATAATACTTACATAAAATAATTAAATAATAGCCGTAGATTTTCATTTTTGCCCAAAAATGCAAATGAGGCCATAAGAGGAAATTCGAAGGCCTTGTCCTTCTTTCATCATCTTATCGTTCATCTACGCTCCGTTTCTGAATAATTTCAATGAAGAAGTTCGAAAAAGATCGTCTTTCTCCTCATCTTCCTTGTCGTTGTCATGTTCGGCAGAAGTTGCTTCGAGATTCCTTCTTCACCCCCCTACGTTCATCGCCTTCACATCTCCCCCCAGGCCATACCAGTATTACCTTCTGAGATTCTCAATTACATGATTGTCAGTTCAAATTAAGTTGGAAAAAGAAATAATTTGATTGAGTTAAAGAAATATTTTATTCTGTCCGTCATCAACCAATTTTCTCTTTTTGAACGCCAAAAGGAGTGAAAGAGAAATAGAGAGAGAGAGAGAGAGAGAGAGAGAGAGAGAGAGAGAGAGTATACGAGAGAGAGTAATAGATGAAGGGACAGAGAAGAGAGGCAGGCTGAAACAGCAAATTTTGATTTTTCAAGCAACAAATGTTGTTTTTGGTAAAAAAAAAAGTTTATTTGCAAAATGTTCTAAGAGGACTCAAATTATGCACAAGATAGAGAGGGAGAGAGAGAGGGTAATATACAAAAGGATAGAGAGAATGAGATAGCATGGATAATGAAGATGCTGAAGGCGAAGGAGAGAGAGGGAAAGGTAATCAAAATAAAGAAATAAATCCAAGTATTAACTATAATATTTACAATTTATTTATAATTAAATTATATTGTTGTTGTTGTTGTATGGATGGATGGATGGATGGATGGATCAAAGATGTCTGTGTGTGTGTGGTGTGTGTGGTGATGGTTATCCGTTTCATGTATGGTGGTGGTAGTAGTTGGCTCAGCAGTTCTCAAAGGAGTGTCGTCGAGCAGCCAGTGGACTAAAATGAAATTGAAAAGTTAAATGAGAAAGGAAATGATTATGAAAAGTCATTTTCATGTAAAAGACAACTAGTTTACGAACACAACCTTACGGAGATTAAGAGGGAAATGGCGATTTTCATTATAAAAATATGTAAAAACGACAACAACCAATGGAGGAACTCACTCAAAGAGAAACTCATATGTGATCGCCTTCTATTGAACTAAAAAATTATTTTGTTTAATTGCTTTACCTTTGAAGACGAGTATGTTAGGAGAGAAAATGCTTTTTGTTTGTTATGTCATGAGAGAGTGAGAGAGAGAGAGAGAGATAACTCTCGTTTATGAAACTGTAAAGCTTACTTGAGTTCGGAGAAGCGTCTGAGATACTTTGTCTCTTCGAACGATTTCGATTCAATGCGTGCTTGTTCTGAATCCGTTCGTCTCAACCGATTTCTGGAACTGAAATATGATAACAAGAAATGAGATGTTCTTCCTCAAAAATCTTCCCCCAGATGTTGATTATGTTAGGGGGTAGAGAGAGAGAAAGAGAGAGAGAGAGGGTTAGGTAAGGTGATGGGTGATTGAGAGAGAAGAAGACAACGTCTGGACGACTGAGTGGGGGCATGGAGGGATTATATCATTCTAAACCTACCGATACTTGGGACGAAACTCGAATAAAAGCCAAATAGCTCCAACCGCTAAGGCACTCAAAACACAAAGAACACTGAAACATGAGAGAGAATCAGGAAAAATGAATATTTCAATAATTACCTAAATAGGAGAATGTAGAGTCGAAATCGATAAGATTCACAACAGCTGAGTTCTTGACATTCTGCTAACAGCCATGACCCGCATACAGACATTATACTGCAACAAGCAAGCACATCATTTTCATTCATATTGTTTATCTCCAAATAAAGAAAGACGAAATTCGGATGAGGCGCCAACTTCATGCGAACACGAGCATGAAGTTGACGTGAAATCTGCGACGTTTATTTGAGTATCTCCGGAAAGCATGGAGCGGTTGTGCATTCGATTCAGTGATGAGAGGAGGAAAGAGAGAGAGAGATATAGAGAGAGAGAGTGTGAGAGAAGCAAAAAAAGAAAATATAAAAGAAAACAAAGCAATTTATAGGAGAAAATGGAAAGAAAAACATAATTTAAGATTTCCTCCCCCCCCCTCACTCCCTCCTTCTCTGGGTGTTTGTTGAAAATGATTGATATCGTCAGATGAGTGACTGATTCGGATGTCAAAAGATTTTTTTAGGAAAAGGGGGATGAAGGAGGCAAGAGATAGACAAAGAGAATCAGAAAGAGAGATTTGTTAAGAGAGAGGGAGAGAAGGAGGGAAATGACAAAAAAGAGAATGAGAGCGTGAAAGAAACAAAAAAAAATGAGACATGAAGGCTGAAGGCTTAGGAGAACAAGCATTCTTTTACGATCCATCCAATGCACAGAATCATGCATTATGAAGAAGCTTCTTGATGATGATGAAGAACAAAAGCTGGACCTCCATGAGAAGTCCTATGTTCGCTTTCGTGATTCCATCTGTCTGCAGATGCACTTTGTTCATGTTGAGACGACGACACAAAAAAACATTTTGCCCTCAGGGCAGATAGTGATTATGTCCATAGATTACGTTTCCTGATCAAGTTTACTCCGCGAACTTTTGAACATCAGCAAAAGGATTTTGTTGTTGAATTTCAAATTATTTTCAATCGATTTTTACCCTTTCAGCTTAAACTTTAACCAATCTCTCCCACTTTCTCTCTTTTCTTAACCATCTCTGTCTCTCTAAAGAGGTTTGGACAGGAGACGTTCATGTGGACTCCATGTCACGCGAATGTTGTTTTCATTTTTCTCGTTTTTTTTTCAGATCTCTCTCCTCACTCTATCTCCCTCTCACTTTGAGCTTTCTCTCTCTATGTGCATCTTGAGCTGGTGCCCTGAGGCATTTTGGCATCTCTCTCTCTCTCTCTCTCTCTATGCTCATCTGACTCTTTGAGTCAAACACGGATAGGAAACTGAGAAGATTATAAGAAAAATAAAGAGAATAGGTTTGAAAAAGATAAATTCAGTGAATGATAGGCTAGTGATTGACCACCAGATGTCGCAAAGAGAGAGTTAGAGAGAGTGATTGTAATATATAGAGAGTAGAACAGAGATCCAGAGATGGAAAGAAAGAGAGCGGTTGTTGTTGAAAATCAAAATGAATGACACAAAAGCTTGAAAGAATAAACTTAACAGCCATTAAGCTCTCAATGTCTCGACTGAATATTGAGAAAGAATAACTTTAATAAAAAATCAGAAAAAAAATCTATTTTTGGTGAGGAGGAGAGGGAGGGTGGGGTGGATGGGGGATAAGAAGTCGCCAGAAGAGAACAATGGCCAGATGGGAAACGTTGGGCATTGCATGAGCGGAGCAGAGAAAAAGATAAAAAAGTGAATTTTAGTAGTGAAACTTCTTGAATATCAGCTTTCAAGCTTTCAAAAATCCCAAAACAAGTTGGTTCAATCGAGATGCTTTTAAATCAGGCACAAGCGTTTTGGATGGGAGAGCAACTCAAAAAAGAGCAGAAGAGGGATAAAGAGAGTGAGAGAGCGGGTGAAGAGAAAGAAAGAAAGAGAGTGGGACAGTGGTGGGCGAATGGAGGGAGGAAGGGAGTATATACAAGGCCTCAGGGCTCTGATTCCTTACATGTCATATTCTCTTCTTCCTCTCATTTCTATTTCAACTGCAAAGGTATCACACAAGCTTTAATATAGAAATAAAGTTTGTGGAAAAACCAGAAAAATAAAAAAAAAAGAAACAAAATGGAGGACAGAGCCGTGAGGGAGGTAGTCGGAGGAGAAGCATTAAGCTGTGTGAATGTTTTGATCAGTACCATCACGTGAAAAGTACTTACGTGAATATTTTGCATAAAACTTGATACAGAGAGAGAGAGAGAGAAATAACGTATATGGAAGAGAGGGAGAGATAGAGAGAGAGAGGAAACGACAAATTGGAGGGGAAAAAGATATTTTTAGAGAGAAATAATAGTCTTTAGACTTTTTTATTGGACAAACTACCAGAAAATGAGAATTGTGGACACAACTGGACGAATGAAGATGTCGGTGATCTTGTGTGCCATGGATGAGATAAGATCTTTCATTGCAGACAGTCAGCTGTCATAAAACAGAAGAAGAAGCTGAAGAAGAGAGTGAGAAGATGGCTAAGAGGCTATTATTATGATTTTCTACATCAATAGGTCAAAGGCTTATGTGAAGAAGAAGAAGAGAGAGAGAGTGTGACAGAGGGTTCAAAGATGGAGGGAAAGAGTCGCCAGAAGGAGGGAGAACGATGGCTGGGACGGGTCGGCAGAATATCGTTAAGCCCATTGGCCCATTTTTGGGATGATGGGAAAAAAAGGAAAATGCAATCGACGTTCCGCATAGCAATTGGATGAAGTTGCACTTGCAAGGAAATATTTATTTTTTTCATTCAAAATTACATCTTTCAACTAATAGAAGCTTGAGCTGTTGGAAGAAGCTTCTCTCTTCTCACATGGTTTGAAAGAGAGGACTAGGAAAAGCTTCTTTCTTCAACAAAATGATTGAAAAACAAAGGAAAATGTACTTTATGAGAGGAAAACCTTCGGATCTCTCCCTCTTTATTTTTTTTAAAGCTAAAGGAGGTTAATTTTCGAAAGAAAAAAGAGATTTTCAGGAAATGGCTAGCAAGAACGGAGGGAATGTGAGATAGAGAAAGGAGAGTAGGAGGTAACGAGGGAAGGAAATGGTTGCAAAGCACATGTTGTTTACGTTCTTCTGACTTCAGAAAGAAATGGCCAACGGTCTAGCATTTCTTCAGAATTTGATTTTTATCCTTTCCTTTCTCTCTCCATGTCTCGTTCTCTCTAACTATGCATAGTCTCTCAACATGTATGACTGACCCTTTTCTCAAAAGAAAAAAAAAACTTTTTAAAAGAATTTAAAAAAAACAAAGAAAAATATAAAAGAGCAAAATGGGCTCAGTTGACTGGAGCTATAGGGCGACAGTTAGTTTGCACACACACACACACACGCATACACACACATACACACACACACACACACACACACATACACAAGGACAAAATTGAAAAGAAAAAACTGAACAAGGGAGAGAAAGAATGGAGAGGGATGAAGGGAGAGGAGCAAAGATACAGAAAGAGAGAGGGAGAGAGAGAGCAGATGAAATGATCGAGAGGAAAATGATCGAAAGAGGGGACGTAAGAAAAAGTTTAGAAGCGAGAATTGACAACTTGTTGACTACTAATGCCCTCAGGCAATCGTTCCATGCCTACTCCTTCTTCATCTTCTTCATGTTCGCTCATGGCCACAAATAGTTTGCAAAACGAAAACTCATTTAAAATCTCATTTTTTTTAAGTTTCGCGCCTTTGTTACGTCAAAGTACTATGCGAACGATGAAGATAAGAAATGAATGGCAAAAAATGGTTTTTTTCTATTTTCAGATGTTATGAACGAGAGGAGCGGTTGCATTTTATGTGATAGCGATGGGTGGGGTTGTTCATGGGTACAGACCAAACATCGACAAGCTTATATGTGTTGAAGCTTTGAAAAGAAGCTGGAGCGAGAGAAGAAGGCGAGATTTCTCAAATGATTCTTTATAAGCAACAGAGTATGAAGGCAGTGTATGATTTTTTTTCTCGAAAATCTGTTCTAAACATTCAAAGAGAGAGAGAGATGGAGAGATAGAGAAAGAGACAGAGAGATACGAGAGTGTTGAGAGAGGGAGCCAATTTTTTTGTTGAGAAAGTGAGCCGAAAGAAGGTCCATTTAATGGGCCTGTGAAGCGTTGTTGTTGCTTTTTGTGAAGCAAAGTCATTGAGACTCAGTTTTTGGAGGCTACTGGTCCTTCTTGCTGCTTCTCTCAAAATTCCTTTGACTCTGAGATGAAGCCTCAAGCCTGAAATTAATGTTCTGGGGCTCAGCTGCAACAAAAAAAAGCAAAAACGAATAGAAAATGCTCATGAAAGGGTTTGTGAGAATTAGAAAGAAAGAGAGACAGAGAGTTGGAAGAGTCTTTCCTAAAGAGTAAAGTAAGGACATCTCTGTTAAGCTCTAAAGAGAAGATGCTACAGAGAGAGAAAGAAAAATAGTCAAGAACAAGGAGAGTTTGAATTGATGGAAGAGTCAGTTATAAAGAAACAAATGGTCAATAGGACTTTTGGAGGCATAGAAGCTTAAGATACTGATAGGGTGAGGACTTCAAGTCTCTTGGAAGCTGTAACCAACTAAGCTATAAAGAAAGAGATCTATCTCTCTCCAATTCTCTCTATGGCACCCAGTTTATGGAGGATGAATAGCTAAAGTAAAGTTAGGTGAACGAAAAAGTTTGTTTTCTAAATAATTTTGAAAGAAGCTGTCGTTTGACGATGGAGATGAAGCTGAAGAAGCTCGAAGACAAAGTAATCTGAGATGCCAACATGTGTGTATCTGTTTTCTTCAATTAGCTTCCAAATGATTGAAAAGAACGCTTTTCTCTGTTTTTTTTCGTTCGAAAAACGAAAAGAGAATAAAGATTTTCGATTTTTTCTCAAAATTATTTGAGAAATCAAAAAATAATTTGAATATTTCCCCTGAGGGGAGAAGAGGGAGGGAGGAGAAGGGGGAGAGAAGAAGAAGAAGAAGAAGAAGAGAAGGGAAGCTTCGAAAGGCAACCCTCATGACTTTGACAAGATATGAGACAAAAAGGCTGCTCTGATGGTCAATACTCAAACGAAGAAAAAATAACTAAACTTAGCTCTCATTTGGATGTGATGAAAAAATATTTTTATGATTCTCAACTATGTTCAGCTAAGAAGTTGGATGACATTTGGCATTTTTCGGAAAAAAAAAAACGACAAAGGGAGTATGATGGGGGGAAAAGGGAGAGAGGGAGTGTGGAGGGAATAGAGTTCAACAGAAAAAGAAGAGAGAGAGAAAGAGATCTTTAAAGAGAAGGCTGGAAGAGAGAAAAAGAGAGAGAGAGAGAGAGGGAGAGATTGCAGAAGAAAAAGAAAAAAGTTCAAAAGAAGGAAAAGTTTATGTAAAACAAGGCGAAAGAATGGAGAAATAGCCTGAGGCAATGAAAACAAAGGATTTCCTAAAGTTTATTTTTTCTAGTCATCTCTGTTTCTTTATTTCATTCTTGCAAGAGATAAAAACACACATACACACACACACACACACACACACATAGAGACATACACGAGAAGCATCATGGTCATTTAGGGAGTATGAAGGCTTTGAAGGCCTCGGCTCTAATGCACACAAGAATTAGATGACGGAAAAAGAGAAAAAAAGCCATTTAAGGGAAAAGGAAAACGGTCGCTGGCATCATGTTGTGAAGCTTCTTGTCCATTTTTTGTTGCCTTCAATCCATACCCTTCTTAAAGCCAAAGAATGAGTAGAAGCTCAAACACTGCAGTTTTTTGCTTCAACACAGAGACAGAGAGAGAGGAAGAGAGAGAGAGGGAGAGAGAGAGGAAGAGGAAGAAGGCACAAGAAGGACCGTGGAAAGATGTCGAGGTGTTAGCTAAAGAAACAACTCTCTTAAAATTTCAGATAACACGAATAGTCTATAAAAGGTTGACGTTGGACGGTCATTTTGCCCAAATGACGTTTTTTTGCACTTTTTATCTATTGCGATACGCAAAAACATTCAAAATCCGTCTTAGCTCATCGAAAATTGGTCTTTTCCGAAACTGGACGGTCCTTTGACCGTTTTGCCCATTTCTTAGGACATTTTGAGTTTGGTAAAGAAAAAATTTAAATTTAAAATGTGTACTCAGAAGAAAAGAATAAAACCACTGACAAACTTTAATATCTTAAAATCAGTAGACACATTAAACAAACTAAATATAAAAGTTTTTATTTTCCAGTTCTTTCTTCAATCCATCAGTTATTTTGAACTCCCGAAGCAAATCAGGAGTGGCACCTGAAACAAATAATACACTGAAAAATGGTTCACAATTTGTACAATTACACTTCGAAGACGGAAAAACGACGTCCTATTTCACGCGATAGCGCCCACGCGAAGCGTCTTTTGCTGTCATGCGAGTTGAGCATGACCTTCAGCTGGTGATTTGCAATAAATTCTTAAAATTAAAAAAAAATGTATCCACATTGCTTAAACATTAAGAAATTAGAACTACCTTGTATTGCTAAAGATGCACTACACCAGATCAACTCACAAGCAAGTCGATGATCACCTAGTTTAATGAATAGCTTCACGAGAGTGAGAACTGTCTCAGAGGACCACTCCCCTGAGACAGTTCTCACTCTCGTGAAGCTATTCAATATCATTTTGTAACATTGAAAAAACTTCTGGATACGTGGATCTTCACGCGAGTTCATCCTGAAAATATATATAAAAACGTGCCAATAAATCAAACTAAAAAAAAGACACATGGTAAGCTGACACATTACCTAGGAAAAAATTTGTTATTCAAATTTTCACCATCAAAAAAAATAAATACTAATACGAGTATATGACGTGGCTTGAATGGTCCACGGCTTATATACCCTTGCGGAAACGCGTCACGTGGAAATAATTTTTACGTGAAAAAAAAATGACCCGGTCGTTCTTTTCCAGGAAAGCGAGACAACATGTGTCAAAGTTGATGAAATCGGTTGTTTTTTGGGTTATTTCGGATCACAATTTCATTTTAAACTCGAATATGATGTCTATTTATTGTTATCGAAGAAATATATCATGAAAAACACCAAAATTCACTTCAAAATCACGTAGAAAGCAGAATTCACTGAAGACTCGAAATGTCGGCTCATAACATGTGCTCTACTGCGAATTGTTGATTCGAATCAATCAATAAACAAAGAAAAAACAGTTATTCATATTTATTATTTTGTGATTTAGAGAGCTTCTTCTTCGTTTTATTTCATTTTTCTTTTGTCTTAGAAGGGTTTCAGTTGAGTTGAGAGGTTCTCATTTTGAAACGAAAAAATGAAAACCCGGTTGTTCTCTCTTGGAAAGGAGTTCAACTGAGTTCTTGAGAGTCTGATATCGCTTAGTGAACTCTCGTT